GAGTAAGTGTAATAGTAAATACAGAAATGTGGAAGAACTATTCCCAGACAATTTCATTACAATGAATTCACTAAAATTCATACAGTCATTCAGTCTGGGTTTCATTTATTTGGTGCATTGGATTTAGTGGGAAAGCCTTGAAAATTGGCAGATTCCAGCCCTGCTAGTTGGCCATAATATAATAATATTAATTCCATGCTCAGCCTCCTCAGGTGATTATATGAAAACTCTGTAAATTGCAGGGCTTTTGTTCTGCATCTTGTTATAAATAACATCAGCCATTGATTGGCATTGCTCATTCCTCTTCCTAACATTATAACTGCAATTCACTGTTCTCATGTATTCCAAGTTTAAGTATGTACACAACAGAAATATCATGCCAGGTCCAACCTCCTATCCAGAGGTTTTCTCCTAAGTCACTGTTCATAGAATGCCAGCTTTTTGAAGCCACCTAGCCTTGAAATCAACAAGACCTGCTTTCGTGTAGATATCTTGTAGAGACATGACTCCGTACCACTGAATAGGCTCACATTTATAGAAAATCCCAGAGAAAGAATACCTGATTTGATTATCCTGAAAAGGGGTAATTCAGGAGCACAGATGTATACATCTTTTTGTTGTGTTGTATCCTTGTTGGTTTAATCAGGAAACAATTTCAATTCAAAAACTGAAATGGTAATAGAAGACTACCTAAATTTGAAGCTGGGAAGTAATATGACCAACACAGGGTGATCCAGATTGCTTGATATAAAGATACAATGATGCTGATTCAAACTGCAGATAGAAGTTTGAAACAGCCTTTGTATTTATCAAATACATTCATTTTGACTGACTCAGTTTGGAACTAGATGATGTTTAACAAGCCATCATTCTGCAGACATAAATGAAGCACACATTTATATAGGAACATTTGTTGGCTTATGAGGGAGGGAGACATTTTCAACAAAATAATTTCTGCAATTTTGATCAATAAGGTACCATTAAGTTGGTGTTGATTTGTAGCAACTACATAGGCCCTCCCTAGGATAATCTGTCCCCCACATGGCCTTCAGGTCTCCCATCCATGCACCCATTATTGCTATGATTGAGTTGATTCATCTGATTGCTGGTCATCCACTTGTTCTCTTTCTGTTCCATTTTTTTCCAGCATTGTGGAATTCTCAGGAGAGACTAGTCTTTGCATAATGTTTCTGAAATATGATAACATGAGTCTGCTAATTTGTGTCTCAAGTGTAAAATGTGGATTGATATGTTCTGTTATCCATATCATTATTTTCTTGGCTATGAATGGTATTTTTAGCAGTCCTCTCCAACACCAAAATTTTGAAGTATCATTTTTTTTTATCCCTCCTTCTGCAAAGTATTTTAAAGTGGCATAAAAGAGTTAACTAGCTTTGGGAAAAAAAAGCAGATCTCTTCAGCAGACAGGATATTATTGGCTCTTCCAATCTGCATTGATATAAAAATGCATTTTAAGAGAAGCTTAATTGTTTTATTTCTGTTCTTACAATATCCTGATGGATGGAAAAGTGTATAAACTGAATGCATACATAACCTGGTTTTGGGAGGGAAAAGCACTACTATTTCCTTGCCAGTCTCCATTGGAAACATACAACTCTTGTAGCAGTTCTGTAACAGGTCATGGGTTCTTTACATCCAAATAATAATAAATGTCGGCTGAAGGAAGGCTTGATGCATCAGCCAACTCAATCTCTACTTCATGAAAGCTTTTGATAAAAACAAGAAAGGGAAAGTGTACAGAAAATGGATTTGGAAATGCTCTCCAGCCCCTCTCCTCTCGGTCCGTGAAAAGGACGGAGGGGAGAAGGAGCTTAGAATGGAATCCTGATCAACATAAGGAGGCTCTGCTCTACCATAGAAAAACATCTCCCACGTCAGTTCTTGTTCTGTTCCGTTCTTTCGGTTTGGGGAAATTTATCTTGTAAACTTTCTTCCATACAATTTGTTGTGTGGTAAAGAATTTAAAAAAGCAAGTGTTTATGTCTACCTTGTCAAAAGTAAATTGCACTATGTTCAATGGGACATTCCTGAGTGTGAATAGTTTTGTGGCAGCAGGATGCAATTTATGTGAAGGAAACTTGTTTTGGGATTGTTATCAGTTCGGGAGGGAGGGAGGCAGAGAGAAAGAGAGAGAGGGGGGGGGAGGGAAGGAGAGAGAGGGGGGGAGAGAGAGGGGGAGAGGGAGAGAGAGAGATTGTAAATATGCTCCTGTTGAACATGCAGTTGCAGCAGTACCCTACTGATTTTGGTCCTTCCCATTCACTGGAGATGGACTGCCTCACCAATTCTCCTGTTCCTTCCTCCCCCTGCACTAAACCACAATACCAGTTTCCCTGCCTCCCTGCCTCCCTCCCTTCCTCCCTCCCTCCCTGCTTCCCTTCTTTCTTTCTCTGTTAGCACTTTATGTCCTGAGTTCTCTTCATACCCATCAGCTTTCCCACCTCATTTCCTTAACCAATTTCTCTCAGTACCCCAGCAGGATAGAAGAGAGAACACCACTATGTAATCATCTCTATTATTTCATTTTAGCAATATTCTGAAGCGTCTTTAAGATGCAGCAGCCCTATTTCCCCTCATTTCAGTGTCCAGAGAACAATGAGAGATGCTAACTTGGACTTTTGCATCACTTACCACTTTCTCCCCCCATTTGTCAAATCAAATCAAACCTTTATTGCAGCCAGCATAAGGAGGTGGGGTGCAAGAAATTAAAAAGCACAAAAGACACAATAAAATAAAATCACACATAAAAAAGCCAAAAGGTATAAAAACAAAAAACAAACAAACCAAAATAACCCCTAAAACTAATTTAAAATGACAAAGAGGAGCTGTAAATCAGAACAGGAGAACTCAGTCATCCAGGTCGTGGTTGTCCCAAAGGTGCTTTTCCAAAAGGCAACTGGAAAAACAAAGTCCAGTTGCCTTTTGAAAAAGCACCTTTGAGATAAATCTATCACAATACCCAGCACTCTGTAATGATGAAAGACGTGCTCATTAAAGCTGGTTTGTGGCACAGGTAAGCTAATGGGTTTTACGTACAGCTGCACAGAACCTGGGCAGGGTTGGCAATCTGAGAGAACAGAGAGATGTAGAATCGTTCTATGTGTCCTGGGTAGTTATGTAATAATTGTGAGATGAGGCTAGTATGAATGTCTCTGTAGTGTAAACTGTAGAGAAGTACAGTACATGTTCTGTTGTTTTTAGTGTCCAGAGTCACAGTCTCTCTGGACAGGGGATCTTCCTGTATCCTCTTTCAAGGACAGCTGAGTAGATATAGCAATTGCACTTAGGCTATATATACTGCTTCATACTGCTTTACAGTCCTCCCTAAGCAGTTATGAAATGTCAGCATATGGCCCCCAACAATCTGGGTCCTCATTTTACCGACCTCGGAAAGAGGGAAGGCTGAGTCAATCTTGAACTGGTGAGAATCGAGCTGTGGACAGTTGGCAGAATTAGCCTGCAATATTGCATTCTAACCACTGCAGCACCATGGGTATCACACCAGAGTAAAAGCCCTCCAGTAGTTAGGTTCTTTTTCAAGATTAGTTAAATATGCCAGAGGGTAGGTAAAGTACTTGTTGGATTCACTGGCACTAAAGGTTGGGAACCTGGCTAAGTCCGGCTGGCATTCTGTGTCCACTTCTTGCACGCTGTTTAATGAGTGCTTTGGCCTGATCATATCCCATGCTGGAGAGAAGGCCAAGAATGAGATTTTAGTTGTCACCGTCTTTTTCCATACTGACTTGCATTTGTCACTTTCAACTGGTTTCTCCACAGCCTTATGAAATAAGGATAACTGCCCTACAGCAGTCTTTTGGCTGTAAGTATCAAGATAAATGCACGTTTATGACAGGGACTGCCTTTTTTCCTCTCTCGAAGGCTATTTCTCCCCTGGTATTTTCCCCAATTCTGCGGTCTCCTTATTGGGAGACATTCCCACCCACCCCCAAGGTGCCAAAAGGGAAAAGCCAGAAGGGAACTTGATCCTTGCTTCACACCAATCAGGAGGACACCATCTGCAACGGTTTAAGACAGAACCAATAGAGAGCCAATGAAGGCAGGAGGAGGATTGCCAAGGAGGGGAAAAGAAAAGTTTGGGGTGGGGTTATTTCCCCCCCCCCCAGGACACAAGGGGGAAATGCACTGGCGGAAGGAATAGTACTTTCAGGAAATGGGAAAACAATGTGTAGATGCCATGCTTTAAAATTCTCTGGGGGGGGGAAGCATCCTTTGATATTGCTAAGTGACTTGGGAGTATCTAATAAAGTTAACTCTGCAATTGGCCCATTCACTCAAGAACGGGTTAAGCTCCTTCCAGTAACCCTCTCATCTTTTCGGTAGCCTTTGCCCAAGTCTCTCCGTGTCGGGGAAGAGAACGAGAGTGCAAGGCGTTCTTTCTACGCCTTATTGCTATCCGTGCCTTTCAACCAAAGTTCATCCGCGGCCAATTTCCACACACAACGGCGATGGCCTCCTGCAAACACCCAGAACTAACCCCGCTCTCACGCAACCGTCGCTACCGCCGAGGTTTTTGCCTTTCCAAATCTTCCAAAGCGGTTTGGAAGTCCCACTGGAAGTCCTGGAACGGGTTGCCGAGGATGGGGCTGCTCTTGCAACCGGGCGAGAAGAAACGGCCCCTTCCCACCTGGCGCAGGTAGCGAAAGACGTCCAGCCTGGTTTTTTTTTTCCCCAGCGCCGCACAGACAATGTCAGCTGCCCGCCCCGTTCTCCGAGCGCTGACTCGGTCGTCGGGAGCGGGGATCGCACCCAGGTGGGTGGGCAGCCACCGCCCCATTCAAGGGTAGCCCCGGGGTGGCGCCAGGACTGAGCTATATAAAGCGACCCCGCCGGCCTCGTTACCTGGTCCTCGCCGGAGCTGCTGCTCCCTTTCATTCGCCCCCGTCGCTCCCTTCCAACCCCCCCGGCCTTCTCCGTATATGAATCTAGCCGGTTTTTCTTTCTTCTCGGGTAAGTGCACCATGACAGCCGACGCCTTCCATTCGCCCAGTCAGGGCACCAGCCCGGATACCCCAACGATGCCCCGGGCCTCCCCGTCGAGCTGCAAAGCGGAGCCCTTCTTGATCAAGTCGGAGCCCAGAGGGAGCCCGGCGGAGAGAGGAACCGAGCAGCCCGCCGACGATCAGCCGCCCGGTCCCGGCGCCTCGGCCAGCGCGGGAAGCGGCGGCGGCGGCGGCGGCCGTCGGAGGAAGCGGCCGGTGCAGCGCGGGAAGCCCCCCTACTCCTACATCGCGCTGATCGCCATGGCCATCGCCAACGCGCCCGAGCGGCGGCTGACGCTGGGCGGCATCTACAAATTCATCACCGAGCGCTTCCCCTTCTACCGCGAGAACCCCAAGAAGTGGCAGAACTCCATCCGCCACAACCTGACGCTCAACGACTGCTTCGTCAAGATCCCCCGCGAGCCGGGCCACCCGGGCAAGGGCAACTACTGGACCCTGGACCCGGCCGCCGAGGACATGTTCGACAACGGCAGCTTCTTGCGCCGCAGGAAGCGCTGTAAGCGCACCGACCTCACCACCTACCCGGGCTACGTGCCCAGCGCCAGCGCCTTTACCCCCCGCGTGGCCTCGGTCGGGCGGCCCGGTCCCTGCGGTGGCTCCGGAGCCTTAGGCTACTCGGGCGGCGGCGGCGGCGAAGCCGTCTATTCGCCCGTCCGCGCCTACAGCCCGCAGCTCTCCGCCCTTCCCCAATACCCGGGGGCGCCGCCCGCGCGAATGTTCAGCATCGACAGCCTGATTAGTTCCAAACAGCAGCAACAGCAACAGCAACACCAACACCAACAACACCAGGCAGCTGCTCTGCAGGCCTCCTCGGCGATGGGGATAGACCTGGGTCCTTACCATTCCTTGGGCCTGAACAGCGTGGGCGACCTGGGCCCCTGCGCTCTGGGCAACCCGACGGAGACCTATTTCCAGGCGCAGCAGCTGAGTCCCGGCTTAATGGGCCGGCAGCCCGCAGCCCCGACCTACCCCTACGCCGCCTCCCCGTCAGGCCACCTAGCGGTGCCTCCCGGCGCCTATTCCCCTCCCCACTCGCAGCTGTACGGAGCCTCCAGCAGGCTGGCTGGGCAACCACCCGGCCGCCCTGCCTCTTCCTGCGCGGAACACGCGGAGCAGCTGGTGGGCCTCGCAGCCTCGCAACTCAATGGGCTCGGCCAGTTTGGAGCCGCGGCCGCCAGTCCCTACCTGAGACAGTCACATTTCTCCTCCGGCCTGGAGAAATATTTGTAAAGAGGAGGAAGGCAAAGCCACACATACACCCAACACTTCTTTTGGAACACTTTCCTTTAATAGTCGGACGGAAGTCCGTATCTAATCACTAATTAGCAAGCGTTCCACAGTCGGATTCAAAGAAATACAACTTTTTCTATGTGTGTATGGCAGCATCTTGGATGTATAGGATTGGCACGTGCCTTCAATCACTGTACCTAAGGTGCCTTTATTCTGTGTGCTGGACAGTGGGCCATAATTTAGATACTAGGCTGTGGGGGGGGGGGCTTAAAGACCAAAGTTTTGTCATTCATCTGATGCACAATCTTTCCATATGTTCAATTGGCCCAAGAGTTGTTTAAAAACTAGGGCTTTTTGTGTGAGGGTGGAACAAGTTTTAGGAGTGGCAGTTAAGGTTGAAGTAGGCTTAACGCCTTGTCTCAGGTTCCATTTAAGATACAGCAATATTTGGAAATCAATGCCATTATTAGTGACTTTAGTAATAAATTCAACCCGTTGCATCCAAAGTGGGAAGATAGTGAAAGACAAACTAGCTAAGGGAAGAAGTAATTTAGGCTCTAGCCTTCTTTGTGACAGTTTTTCAGAGAGAAGCAACTGAATGAAAGAGATTGTAAAGATACTCTTCTGAATTAGGGTTTATTTCACTGGAACTTTCTCACTTTCTGAGACCTCCAGTCCACTATATGGACTTTGGGGCTTGAATGCTCTGCACATCCGTTTGCTTGCAGACACTGGAAAAGCTGCTTTAGAAGGAAAGAGGTTGATCCCTTAGCTTCTCTCAGGCTGTTTCTCTTTGGATTTCTTTGCTGCTGGCTAATCCGAATGAATGAACATGCTGAAAGGGGAAAGCAGACAGCCAGCTATTTTTAAAAGCCAGTAGGTGGATCTAGCATGTCTACAGCAGCTTCTCAATCAAGCTGTAGAGGTGTTTAACTAGTTTTTATCATCAGTGTGTCTGGAAGATCTTAGGGGTTGTTTAGTCCACCATATTTTGAAAGAACCAGACTAGGCTGGGGAAAGGGTTCTTGGCTGAAAGTCAGTGAAGCTTACAAGACTCCTTTTAACTATGAATGATTTTTCATTTTCATCTTGCTTTTGCCCCTAGGAGTTTTGGGACAGCAGACTCTTATTGCCATGATTTCATTCATGTTAATCGTTGGTTAGCCTGAAAAACAACAACTAATCCAAGAAGCAGCAATTTGTCAAAGCTGAGATGGGATTATGTCTTTTTATCCTCACAATGGTCTTGTTAGGCAGGTTGACCTAAGAGATGATCATTGCCCGAATGCCACTCAATTAACTTAGTGGCTTTGTAGGAATTTAAGTACCTTCTTCCCAAGTCCAGTCCCAAACTTTTGTCTTCCACAAAGTATATTCATTGGAAAATATCTAGATCACTAATGATAATATCTGAGCATGTGACATTTTTTTCCATTACATTTTCATTTTGGTTCTAGAGCTGTATGCTTGAGGAAGAGCATCCTACCTTTTAAGGGCTAGCAACTTTTATGGTCCTGTGCTCTGATTGATTGGGTCAACAACAATAGTTCTGTGTAATGTACATCTCTTGGAAAAACCCCTACTGTGCAACAGTTTTGCTGTGCACATTATTTACTGTTTACTATGCATCGTGTACATCATTACTGATATACAAAAAATTGGGGTATGGAAGTGATTTGGTGTCCATGAAACACCATGGTAATGCTTCCATATACTTGAATTGGACAGTTTTGTTCATTGGATTGCTGTACCATGGATCAGCAAAATTACATCTGAATTTTGTATAGTGTGTATAGTAGGTATGACATATATATAGTATTGAAATAATTAAGTGTACATATTGTGTTTTGAACAATAGTGCCTTCTGAATAATACACCTAAGTAATACATATGTATATATAGCATGTAAATATCTTAGAATTCTTTATTAGACTGAAAACCTGTAACCAAATAAAGATCTCAGTAACTCCTTTAGTTAAACCAAAGTTCTATCATTCAAATGATTTAGTGGCAGTCCTGAGCTCTGCCATAAACCCCAGTTTTCTCTTACAGCAATAGAATTCCAATGTTTCTAACAAAACATTAGACAGGGTTTTGAAGTCAAAGTTTCTATTGTCTTAAAGTTAACTACTTGGTGTTGATTGGATTATGGATTGGTCAATGATCGTTAGATAATAAGGAATATCAGAATTTTCAGTATCAATTTTTAATTTTGTGCCGACTAGTCCTGATTGGAGTAGCAGGCCAATATCTGAACTACTCTTTGTTGGGATTACTAAAAATAAAATAAAATAAAATAAAATAAAATTTCTGCATTTACAGAGCTAGTATGCTAGGAAGAAGAACAGGAACTCTTCTTTCCTCATTATCTAGATGGGTATTATTGTTATGATTGTTCTTATGAATCTATCTCTGTGTTTGCAGGACCATTTAATCATAGGAATCCCACCTTCAACACTGAGTAAGTTTAACCATAGGTTTATTACTCCTACAAGAACAAGCCTTGCTTATTACTATTAGAATGCATTTTTGTTCAATTAAGGTTTTTTTTTTTTTGAAAAACAGGAAAAAATAAGTGTTCCTTTTGGACAGGCTACAGTGTGCTGTTTCTGTTTTGCCTATTGAATATGTACCTTAAATACTTTTTTTAAAAATTAAAATGTGAATATATACTTATTCATCATTAAAATGAAAAAAATATATAACACAAGTAAAGGGTTATTCTTGTTTAAATGTTCTTTGTGGCACATAATGTGTTTGATCCATAAAAACATAGCTTCTTAAATCTTGACTCATTGATCCTTAGGTATGGGGTGTAGAGGAGTTTTATTTTCTCAGAGTTTTATCACATCCCGAATGGTGAAATATGGTTGCCTGTTTTCCAGTATGGAGGTTTCTAAAGGTAGCTATGTGTGCAAATTGTTAAAGGTAATGTTGTTCTGAGTCTATGCTTGAGATTCAGCCATGAAAGAGAGAGATCTGTTTTCTACATTCAACTTTGGACTCTGTTTTAGAGAGTTTTGATTTGGTAACCAGTCTTCCTGTATTCAGTTAGACCTCTCTAAAAAAGGGAGCAGTGACAATGTGAAACTAAATTTAATCAAATATACTCCTGACTTTTGGGCTCAGATTTAAAAAAAACTGTCTGTCTGTCTGTCTGTCTCTCTCTCTCTCTCTCTCTCTCTGTGTGTGTGTGTCTGTCTGTCTGTCTGTCTATCTATCTATCTATCTATCTATCTATCTATCTATCTATCTATCTATCTATCTATCTATCTATTTTCTAGGCTGTCCAGCTCCAGATGATTCTGGACAGCTTCACAAAGTTAAAAGAACACTAATTTTATTTTTAAAAAAAAAATAACAACATCCATAAAACAACAGCTGTCTGAGAGAACAAACCATCCTTTCATATATTCCTCCAGCTCAATAATACAAGTGTACCACCTACAAATCAATACCTATGAAGGCAGAGATGTCTTTGGCATGGCTCTTACCAGAAAAACCTCTCAATTCAGTTGACTTGGCTTTGATTTACAGCAACTGAGTTGCCGTTAATCTCACATTTCTGCAAACCAGAAGGAAGTTTGAAAGCTGGCTCTGTCTGGGAAGCTTCTCTGAAAGCTCTTGAAGGTCTTAGCAAGCTTTGGCTTTTAGTCTCTGAAGTATGGCTGGAGACAGCTGGGCTCCAATTGTCTGAAGAGCTGCATTACTTCTCTCTTATGTTTTTCACCTGACTCCTTCTTTGTACCCTTGAAATTGTCTTGTGGGCTCTCAGCTTTTTCCAAATGAGCCCTCTCTGGAATGTTGCAGTATTTATTTTCTGATACTACTCTTAGCCCATCCATTTTAATATTTGTGTGTGTGTGTATGTTTTGTACATATGTTGTTTTAAGAAACTTAAATAGCTTACTATTTTCCAAAGAGATCAATACTCAATGACTGAAGTATGGAAAGCATTAAAATAATCATATTTGTTTTTAATTAAGGGAATTATTCTGCTCCAAAGATAAGGATTTTTGTTTGTCACTGAGGACTCTCACCTTTGACATTCAGCTTGATAATAATCAAGCTTGGAATCTGGGCCTGAATATATGAGATAATCCTTCATATATATACATGTTCATATTCTGGGACTTTTTAGAAAAATACCTGCATCTTCATCTGAAACAAAGCTTATCCACATTAGTTAATGTGAATAAATATATATCTTGCTGACTTTAGATGAATTTGGGGGTCAACCTAGAGGAAAAGCTGAAGGTTGCGATCTTTCTTTTTTTTCCCCCTTTACTTAGAAAATGAACAAAATGGCAATGGGTGGCTTTTAAACAAATATAAGGAGTGCCATCCTGATTATCTTAATGTATCACAACTAGCCTTTTAAGCTCTCATTTCAAAAGCTTGTTTATAACAGGGATGAATCAAGCAAATGAGTTGGATTAAAGTGTCATGAAGGGCATAAGCCTAGCAAGACCAAGACGGATTTAGGTTGAGACAAAAAAATTTATGAGTGCCTTGCTGATGGTATAAAGCTCTACTATTTTAAATTGTTGAAACTCCAATGGATATAATTGTTACTGACAAAGAAAAACAAATTATGAATAGCTTCTTCTTCCTTTATTTAACCTTAGGTGGACAATACAATGTATTTCATTTAATTTAATAATTATTAATTAAATAAATTATTAAATTGCTTTGTTACTAAATGTGCTAGCAACCTTCCTTCTTTCTGGAAATATAGATGTTAAATGTGGCTTAGAAGAATGAAAAGTATTAAAACAGAAAGGGAGGCAGAATTGTGTTAAATACCATCTCTGAGTTTATAACTGAATTATAATGTTAGAAAAAAAATCACCTTATCAAAAACAATGAGTGGTTTTTACTATATTGAGTTGAAAATCTCTTCAAGCAAATAAGTGTTTTTCCTTTGAAAGAAGATTCAAAAAGGGTGGTTACAAACCTATAGTTAATTTACAGATCCCAGCTTTTTGCTATAAATTACCCATATGCCCCTATTGCCAACTGTGCTGGATTTTTTGCCTTGCTTTGTTCATAACATTTTTTTTTAAAAAAATCACTCTGCTTCTTTAGAACAAGAGTTGATTAAAGCAGGGCTTTTCAACCTTTTCACAAATTGTAGCACTTTTAGTAGATGGCAATATTCGAATACCACCAGTTGCCTAGCAAGGTGTCAAAAACTTGATGACCAAAAAAAAGGGGGGGAAATGTGATAAAATACAGGTAGTCCTCAACTTACAACAGTTCACTTAGTAACTGTTTGAAATTACAATGGCACTGAAAAAAGTGACTTATGACCATTTTTCGCACATGATTATTGCAGCATCCCCGGGGTCAATCTACATTTGGATGCTTGGCAACTGATTCATATTTATGATGGTCACAGTGTCCCAAGATCATGTGATCCCCTTTTGCAAACTTCTGACAAACAAAGTCAATGGAGAAACCAGATTCACTCCTCCTTTTATATCCTCTCTTCTCTTCCCCTTCTTTTATATCCTCTCTTCTCTTCCCTTTTATATCCTCTTCTCTTCCCTTTTATATCCTCTCTTCTCTTCCCTTTTTTATATCCTCTCTTCCCTCCCCTGCTTCTTTTATAATATTTCTCTCCCTCCTTCTTTTCCTCTCTTCTCTTTCCCTTTCTTATATCCTCTCTTCTCTTCCCCCTTCTTTTATATCCTCTCTTCTCTCCTCTCTCCTTCTTTTCCCTTCTGTGCACCTCCAGCTGATTCCTCTCAAGGCTGCGTTTCTCGGTCTCTCTTTTGCAGTCCCCTCCTCTTCCCCATTGTCTTTTTTTTCTCTCCCTCTCCCACCAAAACCTTCTCCTTTTATAGCCTCTCCTCTCTCTCCTCCCCCCTCCTTTTCTCTTCCAGGTGTGCTGGAAGTGCCAATCCTGGGGCTTCTGTCTCATCCCCATAGCCATGCAGAAGCACTGATCAGCTGTAGCTATGCGCTCTGATCCTGGATTTCTGTCTCACCCCCATAGCCCTGCAGAAGTACCGATCAATTGTAGCTGTATGCTCTGATCCTGGGGCTTCAATCTCGTCCCCATAGCCCTGCAGAAGTGCGTGCCGATACTGGGGCTTCTGCTGAGCCCTAACAGCCCTGCAGCTCCAGCTGTCTCTCCCTCAGGCTTGTGCGGTGCTGCCTCTGCTTCAGCTGATTCCTCTCCCCCGCTACACTTGTCTAGGACAGTCGCATACCCCCTGCCAGGTGCCAAAGTACCACAGGTGGTACACGTATCACTGGTTGAAAAGCTCTGGATTAAAGTATCAGTGAATATGGACTATGACTTTGTATTGTAGGATGTATGTATTTTTCAAGGGGTTTCTTCTAGGCAAAATTGCCTGTATTTGGGCAGTTCATTTTCAAAATATGCCATTATGAGGGCACTTTTTTCTCAATTCTTTCACTGGTAATAATCTGGAGCAAAAGCTATATTACCATGGATTACTAAAGGAAGCTAGCAGCTTAATTAAAGATATTTTAGAAATTCTCAAAATTTTATTTTTTGTAGAGAAAGGCTGAAATTTCAGGAATTGGGTATATATGTAAAAGAAATGTCCAGTGGCTTATGAAGAATGAAAAATATTTTCCTGTTTAGGAAAACAGCATTATTGAATTAGTTAATCATTTAAATGACCATTAAGTGTTTAAATTCTGTGACTAACTAATGAAGCGAGCCAAAATCATGACCTTTACTTTTATCAACTTATTATTAAGAAGTTATTCTATAAATTTACTGTACTGCAAACAGTAAACTTGTACTGTACAATTTTATACTGTGGTAATTTCTTAGTGTGCATGGCTCTTGATTTCTTAGTGTGCATGGCTTGGTTCCAGATACTTTGGTCTACTGAAAACAAAGTGATTTGGTGATAATGTAAGTATACAGAATCCAATCATTTCACTGGGTTTATCCTAAGTCTAGGTCAAATTTAGATCTGGTGGTGCAATATACACAGACCACATATATTCCTAATTTAATCACCTGCCAATGATGAGGGGACATTGTTTGCTTTCTAGAAATAAAAGATCTGCAATACTCCTTTGTCCCTGTTTACAGCCAATTTGTCCCTTCCCACTCTTTAAAAAAACCTTAACTG